GAATAGCACATGAATTAAATAATTTCTTACATAAATGTAGCCATTGCTTTTTCCTCTGGCTAGAAACCTCAGGCATCCAATCTTTTTTGTTCCAGAAGGTAACACTGGCATCCTACCAACTGCAATCACAGCACTTCAGATTCTCACTCAAGGAATGGAAAAGGTCTTGAGGGCCGAAAACCCCTCTAATTCCATGATTCAAAAGTGCTTCTAAGCATGTGCTTATATCCATCCTTAATCAGGACAACATTTAAGCAGTCACTCTCAAGTATGTTCTTTTCTGCTTTCTTTAAAATGGCCGAGGGTTGTTCGGTATAAGGTGATTGGAGTGGCAAGAGAGGCTGGTAGGTAAGAACTGCAGCAGCTGAAAGAACCACCAGAGAACATAACTGTGAGGATTATTAATGTACCATAAGCAACCTATTTTTGAGTTTACGGACCCCCATTGATCTCTGGAGGAGCTTGCACTCTAAAAATAACGTGCCTTTGGGAGCTGGGACAGAAAGAATTGGAGCCGGCCAGTGGGAGGTCTGAGTGGGTTGGAGTATCACAGGGAGATAATAGAGGGTCCGGTGACTGCAAAGGGAGTTCAGGTAGCAATTATAAGCAACCACAGAGTATACCTGAGAGAAAGATAATATTATTACCAGGTGTTAAAATAGCACTGCTTGCAAGCAGCATGCTTTAGACAAAATTTGAGAACGGTGGGCTTGATTTTCCTCAGCCCCTGAGCACTGGGGCAACGTTTATCATCATGGCAATTTGATTTCTTCTGCATTTGCATGGCAAGTAGCAGAGTTCTAGGGAGCTATAGGTATTTTTGGTTTTTTTTTTGCTCCCTCTGCTAACTAACTAGTCTTGTAGGCACATGGCCTCCTGGAAGACCAAAAGTCCTTTGGCTAGAGCTGCTATGTCTGAGTTGAGGCTGGAAGAACTGGGCACACATCACACAACAGATCATTTGGTGGGTCCAATGCCTAGTGAGAGATCTGTGTCATGGGATGGGAGAGGAAGAGAGGTGCTTGCTCCACTGGCTGGGATATGATGCCAGTTGGGACCTTTCAGTCCTGAGGTCATAAAGGTATTCAATGATATTAATATTAATTTCACTGGGATTTGGGTGTGAAAAGTTTGGGAACTATGAGGAAACAAAGGAGGGACAAAGGAGTATTTGAAGAAAGGGAGCATGTAGCTAAAAGTAAGACATTATATAATACCTCTTTGTTTTAGTTTGTAAACTCTCTGGCAGTACCACAGCTAAGCAGGGGCAAGCAGGGACCTTGTACCTGGCCCATGAATCGACCATGGCCCTTGTGAGTGGAGGATAGCTTCCCTTGGAACAGACAAAGGCTCTTCCCAGACTTACAGACTGCCTGAGCCTTGAGAGAACCTCTGGAGACCATTCAGTCCAACTCCCTGCTCAGGACAGAGTCTTTACTCAGGGCCATGTCCAGTTGGGTTTTGACTATCTCTAAGGATGCAGTCTCCACAACCTTTCTGGGCAACCTGTGCCAGTGTTTGACCCCTCTGATGGTAAAAAAAGTTTTGTTTGCTATTTAGATGAAATTCCCTGTATTTCACTTTGTGCCTGTTGTCTCCTGCCCTGTCACTGGGCACCAGTGAGCAAAGTCTGTCTCCATCTTCTTTGTACCCAAGGGCTTTGTACTCTTCTTTGCATTACTGAGATCCTTGGGGGCTTGATGTGCACAGCACAGGACAGCTGGCATTAGGGACTCAGGAAATAAGGAAAGGCTAAACTACCTGGGGAAGATGAGCATGGAGCTCCCATGCAGGGCAGATGTCTTATCCAGGAGGACACCAGCAGAAAACACAGTCTTACCATCTAAGATGCTGAATCTTTTAGAAAGGTATAAAAAAAAATCATGTAATCCTAAAAAACAGAATGCGAAATTACAGCTGCCCATCATGACACAAACCTGCCCACAATGTATTTAGAGGCAGAAACTACCAGTGGCCTATTTCAGCAGAAGGATCAGAAAACACTTGTGGCACCAAGGACCACACTATGCTCAGATGAGCCTGCTGTGCCCTGAACACTCTTTCTCCCAATCCCAGGCTTGAGCACTTGAGTTCAGTTATAGCCAATAATGTTTTATCCACACACCACTTGAAAACAGCCGCCCTGTTATATTCAGGAACAGGCACAGAACAGCTTGAAAGAGAAAGAAGAACAATCCTGAATGCTGAAGCCCTTGGAGGACGTGTGTAGGCAGGCGGTAATTACATAGGACAGGATTACACGTGCATGCATATCCCAGGGAGCCATCAAACACAGCCTTAAAGGTGGATTTTGTTTTTGAGACCAGAAAGATAAATACCTAGGATTACCTGATTGGAAGGAAATTTCAGCTGAAACAGAAGAGTGCACTGCCTTACTGAATCTGGCTATGAGACAGCCACATTTATTGCTAATGCCCACAGAGCGTGCTAGTAGCTCTACATGTGGTTTTATGACCTCTTCACTGCAGAAAATGACACCCATTCACTTTTTTTCAGGACAAGTTAATTAAAAGTTGACAACACATTCAAGCAGTCAGTGTAAGCAATGCAAGGTTTCTCTTAATAGCACCTCTCTTCTCCAAGGAAGTGTCTCTTCTGAAAGCTAAGAAATCTCAGCCTTCTGAATGTCCCTCCAGTATTTGTTCAGATGTGCACAGCCTATACATATTCAGGAGTACAACAAAAACTCACTTTATGTAACACATCACAAGATACAGAATTTTGTAATTTTTTTCTCTGTCCTGTGACTTTTTCTCTGTTTTCTAAGTGTATGTTAAAGGTTCATGAGTTCAATAAAATTTACCAAAAATAGAGATATTCCTCCACCTCAAATACTTACATCTTAGCTGATTAAACATATATGCTGACCTTTTGAAAGTTAATTGCAAAACCTGTTTTACTCAGTATTGCACTGTCTGGAACCACCAATATCAGCAGCAAGCACTGGTATCTCTTAACTTCAAAGAGAACAGAAATAGGCCCTATGCTTGGCTTCAAATTATCTGTGACTATGCAGGAAAGAGTCACTGTAGATAGGTCAAAGGGAATTGCTGATCATTCCCCAGACAGCAGCTAAGCACTCCCCCCACCCTGCCCTCAACCTTGCTTTAGATAAATAAATACATTAACTCTAGTGGGATTTATGCAAACGACACAGAAAATACTTTGCTACTATGTCTAGAATAATGTCCTCAGTGCAGTTCAGTCATGAGAATTAAAGTAGAAATAGGGGAGGAGTGGAGCTGTGACAAAAGTAGTTACAGGAACATATAAACTACCAAAAGAGGAGAGACTGAAAATCCCCAAGATTGTTCAGTTTGGACAGTAGACAAAGATTGAGGCTTACTTACCAGTAAGGACTCTAACGGGCAGAAAGAGAAGGCAAGAGAAGAGGATAACCAAAGCAGTTACCCCCCCCCATATACATATATGTTTATCAGTGAAGAGAATTTACAGGTAAAATTTTGATTTTTATAAATGGATGCTTTAAAGGTCTGAGCTCTTAACACAGTCATGAAGTTCCATCAGATTTGGAGAGTAGGTGGAAAAATCTATTGGATCATAAAGATTTGTATTCCCTGAGCTTGGTTGTAAACAAGTACAGTCAGTGAGAGCAAAATTGCAGGTGTGGGGAGTGTACTCCCCTTCACAGCTTACAGGTGCTTTTCTGCATGGTCTGAAAATACATGTGAGTGCACTGATAATGATTAATTTTTGGTTTTGTATTTGTCACACAGGTCTGACAAGTGAAATCGAATGGATTCCAAGGAATGGAGATAATTTGAAATTTTTTATATATTTGTATGAAGACTATGAACTTCCTAACTGTTCAGTATCCCATAGGAAGCATCTTCTTTGTACATTTATATCAACACTTTCTTGTCCATTTTGTTTATCATAGGAAAGTACTGCTGAAATAAAACAGACCACAGCAACTAGCAATGATTGTGTATATGTACAGAAATGATTTTGACCTTAGAACAGGGAATAGTGTAACTTGAAGTTGGAACAAAAGTAGAATAAATACTTTTTAAAAATATAATATTATTTGCAATTAATTTGGTTTCTTTCTTTTTGAAAAATGTCAATGTGGACAGAGTTTTAAAATTATTTGACAAAATGCAGAATGAATGAGGAGTGTAACATCTTATTTCCTGTTGTGTACTCCTGGTTATAGAAGAGGAATCATGTATCATGTGTAATAAAGGAAATGAAAATATTAAAAGGGATGGTCTTTCTGGTGAGTTTAGCAAAATTCTTCTTTTGTTGTAGAGCCAAAGTGTTTCTTTTTCTTGAGAATCTAAAATGCACTGCTGTTCTGATACTTATGCATCACCTTTACTTTATACAATGAAAATACAAGATCTAGTTAGCTGAGAGAAAACCTGCAACATTTATTCAAATAAACAAGTCATCTAGCTTTGATGGAATATGCTCGTGAATACAGGTTGAAGGATCATTATCTTGAAAAGCCCAAATACAAAGGGGACACTGGAATATGGATGCTGGGCAAAATTCGTGTATTATCACAGCAATTCTTACATAGAATAATTAATCCTTGACTCTTGTTTTATATGGACTGTAAATAAAAAAAGACTATTCAATGCATATTCTATTTTTGGAAATAAGATCTTATTGTTAGAGAAATGTAATACACTGTGTCTCCTTGGTCTCTCATGTTATTTACTGTAAAGGGATATGAGGAGCTGTTTTTTAATAATATTCTTCTAATATTGATTGAAACTTTTCTACATGCTCTGAAACTCTCTGCCTGGCTCTTGTTTATTCAAATAAAATACAGATAGTTATTGTGGTTAGAAAACAGATTTCAAGGTGAATATTACTTATGGCATCAATTTAATTTTTGTTGCCCCATCAGATAACACAAAAGCAAACAGAAAATATTTTTGAATTTTAAGTTTTCACGTATTTGCAATGTTTTGTACATGAAATTAGAGAGGAGCTCTACTCGTTGCAGCTCAATTAAAAGGACATTCTTGCATTTTTTTGCTTTGAATATGCAATACCAACATTGGTTACTCTCCTGCTTCATCCTTATGTGCTCATGGTTGATTTCCCTTAATGCATTCCTTGGAGGTGAACATCCCTGAAAGACAGGTTGAAATGGAAGTGTAAAGAGATGGAATGCATCAGGAGCATCTTTCATTTATATACCAATAAGATTAACATTCAATTGTTTATTCAATTAATTATTCAATCAAAAACTAACACCTCCCCCCAACACTGCATTATCAGTCACTGATATTGAACTACATTGGTCCTGCCAGCATGGAAATGATAAAAAGGGGAAAACACACAATCCCTTGATCCAAAAGCATGTTAAAGGTGAGATGAGTCAAAGCCTCAGCTTTTATTATTCTTTAGTTACTTTAAAAATTATAATTTCAGAAAACAGCTGAAAGGTAAAGCCTCATTTTCCCCCTCCTTTCCTAGACAGGAAACTTCATGGTGTAAATTCCAGGAGATAGAGAGAGCTGGGACCACATCCCAGTCATCACATCTGAATGTGTAGGTGAAAGAAAAAAAACCCTCCCTGACAGAGAAGTGTTGTTCTTTTGCCAGGTTTCAACTTCTTGTTCCCAAATGGAGAGGTACCACCAGGGACCATTGAAACATCTTAATAGTGGGGAGGGACCAGGCAGAGACAAAAAATATTTTTTCTGAACTTCGTCTTTGTTTTAAATGAAAATTCAGGATATAAAATTATTTTAGACTCTCTTGAAGCTGACAGCTAATGGGGAGTGGAGATCAGTGAGAACCCTGAGTTAGATATTAGGACTACAAGAAATCCTTAATAGAACAAGAAATTAGCAATTAAGTACTAGAAAAAATGGAGGCTATAAAGGCTCTCCGTGTCTCAGCTAGCAAACTGTTTACAACTGGTCTGAATCATCATGTGCTAGTGCTGTTATTTTTTATTTAAGCCTTATTAAAGGGTCTGACTGTAGGGCATACACAGACCAATGAAAGATGGCCCAAGCAACTCTGCAGTCTACTACTTCTGGCATGGGAAACTCTGTCCCCCAGATGTTAGATTTTGGCACACATTTAGGGAAGGATTGAGGTCTTACAGTGAAGCATGAGCACAGAAACATATAACATCAGATCATACTCATCATCATGGCTAGGCTTCGCGAACGAAGATTTGGGAAGGGCTCTACCCATTTTTCATGCAAGCGCGTTGGTGGCTAAAAAGGCCAATACGAGAAAGGCAAGTCCGGTTGCAAAAGACACAGCAGAAAGACTCCTTAGATGGTATATTCTGCAAGGCTCGATTCTTTCTGCGTTGTCTTTTCTCCTCAAGAGTGATCCTGCGTGCCTTCTCAAAAGCATCAGCAGCGTTATAAATGGTCTGTCTCCAGGCCTCCCGATTAGAGGCCAGAGTGGACCAGTTATGGTGATCAATATGCCCGAGGCTGAGTTGTTGCTTCAGGGAGTCCTTGTATCTTTTCTTTGGAGCTCCTCTCTTGCGGCAGCCAGTGGCAAGTTCACCATAGAGCAGGATCTTAGGGAGGCGGTGGTCCTTCATCCTAGAGATGTGCCCTGCCCAACGCAGTTGCATTCTCAGGAGCATGGCCTCAATACTCGTAATTGCTGCCTGTTCGAGAACAGATGTATTGGTCACATAGTCTGACCAATGGATGTTAAGGATTGTACGGAGGCAGCGTTGATGGAAGCGTTCTAGGAGACGCAGGTGGTGGCGGTAGATGACCCATGATTCGGAACCATATAAAAGAGTAGACAGCACTATGGCTCTGTAGACACTGATCTTGGTGCTTTTCTTCAAGTGTTTATTACGCCAAACTCGTTTATGGAGTTTTCCAAAAGCACTGTATGCCTTCGCTAACCTATTGTCTATCTCCCCATCAATCTTACCATCTGAGGAGATGAGGCTGCCTAGGTAATTAAACTGTTGGACTGAATTGAGTTCTGACTGGCCGATGGTGATGTGGGGACGGTGGGGGACTTCCTGAGGTGCAGGCTGATGGAGAACTTCTGTCTTCTTTAAGCTGACTTCCAGCCCAAAGAGCTCAGCAGCCTCTGCAAAGCAGGATGTTAAACGCTGCAGAGCTGCTTCTGTGTGGGCAACAAGGGCGGCGTCATCAGCATAGAGCAGCTCCCGGACAAGATGGTTTAGGGTCTTAGTATGGGCCTTCAGTCGCCTTAGGTTGAATAGGCTTCCATCAGTACGATAGCGAATGTAGATACCGTCCTGATCATCGAGGTCTGCCGAGGCCCTTTGAAGCATCATACTGAAAAAGACTGTGAATAGGGTAGGAGCGAGAACGCAGCCTTGTTTCACACCATTCTTTATTAGAAAGGGCTCAGAAAGTGTGTTGCTATATCTGACTTGGCCGTGCTGATCCTCATGAAGTGAGATGATCATTTTAAGGAACTTGGGGGGACAACCTAAACGTTCCAAAATCTGCCAAAGACCTTTTCTGCTCACAGTATCGAAAGCCTTGGTGAGGTCGACAAAGGTTACATAGAGACCTTTGTTCTGTTCCCTACACTTCTCTTGCAGTTGTCTGAGAACAAATATCATGTCTGTGGTGCTCCTGTTGGCTCTGAAGCCACACTGACTTTCAGGTAGAATTTCTTCTGCTATAGCGGGTATTAGTCTGTTCAGGAGTATTCTTGCCAAGATTTTGCCAGCAATGGAGAGCAGAGTAATACCACGGTAATTTGAACAGTCTGATTTAGTACCTTTCTTCTTATACAAGGTGATGATGACTGCATCACGAAGGTCTGAAGGTAGTTCGCCTAGTTCCCAACAGCGCACCACAAGCTCATGAAATTTAGCATGGAGTGCAAGGCCCCCATGTTTCCAGACTTCAGGTGGGATTCCATCAACCCCAGCTGCCTTGCCGATTTTCACCTGCTGTATGGCCTTGAGGGTTTCTCCTAGAGTGGGGGCAGTATCCAATTCGTATTTCACTGGTTGTTGTGTGATGGACTGAATTGCTGAGTCTTGTACTACACGGTTGGTACTGAAAAGAGTCTGAAAGTGTTCAGACCATCTATTCAGAATGGAGGTTTGATCTGTCAGAAGCGTTTGACCATCTGCACTGAGTAGTGGGCTTTGGACTTGGTATGTAGGCCCGTATGCTGTTTTCAGGGCCTCATAGAATCCTTTGTGATCCCCTGTATCTGCACATAGTTGAGTTTTTGCAGCTAGATCGGTCCACCATTTGTTCTGGATGTCACGGAGTTTCTGTTGGAGCTTGCTGCAAGCAAGACGGAAGGCTGTTTTTCTAGCGTGACAGGAAGGCAGTGCAAGGTGTGCTTGGTGGGCGGTTCTCTTCTTCCTCAACAATTCCTGGATTTCTTGATTATTTTCATCAAACCAGTCCTTGTTCTTCTTGAGGGAGAACCCTAAGGATTCTTCAGAGGATTGCAGGATGCTACTTTTAATATGCTGCCAAATTGTTTCGGGAGAGGAAACTGCAGAATCTGTGGAATGGTTATCAAGCTTAGTTTGAAGGTTTGCCTGGAATCTTTCTCTTACTGTGGCTGATTGGAGATCGTTAACTTGGAGTCTTCTCCTTGGGATACTGCCCCTCTTGGGTTTGAATTTGAGATAAAGGTTGAGTTTACAGCGCACAAGCCGATGGTCTGTTTGACATTCTGCGCTGGGCATCACGCGGGTATGGAGGACATCGCGGACATCTCTCTGTCGCATCAAGACATAATCAATGAGGTGCCAATGCTTAGACCTGGGGTGCATCCAGGTTGTCTTCAGACTATTTTTCTGCTGAAAGATAGTATTGGTGATGGTGAACTGTTGCTCCGCACAGAATTCTAGCAGAAGTCGACCATTATCGTTGCAGTTTCCAACACCATGCTTGCCTAATACTCCTTTCCAGGCTTCAAAATTCTTACCTACTCTGGCGTTGAAATCACCAAGGATAATGATCTTATCATCTGCGGGCACCTTTTGGGTAAGACAGCGCAGGTCAGTGTAAAATTTATCTTTTTCAGCAGGGTCAGCTTGGAGAGTTGGGGCATATATACTGAAGATGACAACGTGTTGCTTGTTGTTTAGTGGAAGGCGTAGGGAGATAATGCGGTCAGAGTGACCTGTCGGCAGATTTTCGAGTTTAGGGACAATGGAGTTTTTGATCATGAAGCCGACACCTGAGAGATGTTTTTCGGTTCTGGGCTTACCTGACCAGAAGAGTGTGTAACCGGCACCATGTTCTCTGAGGCTGCCTTCCTCGTGAAGGCGAACTTCACTGAGAGCAGCAATGTCGATGTTGAGACGAGCCAGTTCATGGGCAATTAGGGCAGAACGTCGCTCAGGACGTCCACTATTGGCAGAATCGAGCATGGTTCTGATGTTCCAACATGCTAGAGTTAATTTGAGTACACCTTTGGAGGCAGGTGTGTGCCTTTGTCTTTTGCTCTTTGTGCGACCGCATTGGAAGAAGATGCCCGTCGGTCTGCGGTTAACCAACCGGGTGAAGGTGGAGATGAGCTTTGTTTAGGCCACCTTTTCTAGGCCCCTCTCCGAGTGGAGCAAGCAGTGCTGTCCTTGAAAAGGCTGCTTGGTCGTTCAGGGTGCTGCCCCAAGAGACTCTCATCTCCGTCAGTCTCAAATGACCAATATCCTGAACCGCCTGCATGCAGGGTTGAGTCTGCGGCTCCCAGTGCATCTTTCACCTACCGTTTCGACCCTCGCCCGTCGCTACAGGACTTTTTGCATGTGGGTAAAGCCTTCAAGCCTGCGCAATGGATTTTTTAGGTGAGATGCAGTATGCGCGGAACTGAACCCACCCTTTAATCCTGAGGTTCATCTGCCAGGGCCGAGCAAGCTTGGACGGTGGCAGCGAGGTCCTCAGGACGTAGGTTTGATTAGAGTGACCTTCTCTGAGATGGATGGCCTTCCAGGGCTAAGCGAGCTCCATCTGCCCGGGTTTGGGATGAGAGTTGTCCTTCTCCTAGGATGACTGCCATAACATTCATACATACAAATTTATTTACACACAGATCTACCAGTTCTTGTTGGTGCCAATGGGAGCAAGAACTGGCCTCTGCCACCACTTAGCTCTGCCTGTAGCAAGGCCAAAGCAGCTTTGCAGGTTATTCACTTGTTAGTGCTGGCATGAACTCAGGGTTGCATGACCAACCTCTTGGACAAATTACAAAATTAGGTGAGATCTGTTCCAAGGAGCTTCTGAAAAGTACAGAAAATAATTAAATATACTGCATGGGTTTTTGGGCAAATTAACACATAACAGACAAACTCTGGGATCCAAGAATAACATCTGTACAAGCACAGAAAGTTTCCTGAAGGAGGAAGTTGTTCATTCAAGGAGAGCATTTCCAAGTTGGTTATACCAAGTAAACAAAATTAAATCTCTTGTTCAAATTGCTGCCAGCATTGAACTTTTAAGATGTTCCAACAAAACCCTCCACACCTAGTGATTAAGACTAACACAGTTTTAAGTGAAGCTCTGCACAAAGTTTACTGAACAGTGAATTCAGTCAAGGGAGCTACAACTCACAGTATTGTTAAGGAAGGTTATTAATTAACGTGTCTAGCAACATATTAGTACAGAGATTTAATTACTTTTATGGTCAGTTTCTCAAGCACTAAAGATTGTTCAGATAACTTGTTCGAGGTAATTGCCTAATGCTGATGGGAAAAGAAAATACTTGGATGGGTTAATGAGTTTTTCTAACTTTGACATATATCAGATCATACTAAAATCATGCATATTTCATGTGGTTACATGGCAACTTTTGTCAGTTTGAGCCAAACTCACTGACAGGTATGTACTAACACCTCAATAATGAGATGATACATGACCACCCCTAGACAGTGGAGCCAGGTGAATGGTTGTATCAAAGTAAATAGTTATCATAACTGAACCAGAGAAACTCCCCTCCGCACCATAACCCCTAACCTACTTAATGGGGAACTCATGAAACAAAGCAAAATAGCTGGATTTCACCATCACCCCTGTGCTCTGGTCTCCATGTGGTGCTGATGTGTCAGTAAATCAAAGGGACAGTACTGTCCCTGTGTCACCAAGCACTGTGCATATAAGGTGGGGAAAGAGTTTGTTAACTCCCTACCCAGTTGGTTTTTTTTGTCCTAATGCCAAAAAAGAGATTTCTTTAATCAAGAGAAACAGATCAACTGTGTGGTGGCAACATGTTCTGTTAGAAAAACAGAAATAGTTGTCATGCGGTGCCCACAGCAAAAGGTTTAGTCTGATGAGATAGCAAGATCCCAACACATTTGGGAAGAGGCTTTTAATTGTTTGTCAATGAACAAAAACACACTGTAATGATTTTTCTGATCATCCGCACAGAAATAATCCAAATACATTTAGCTCAGAGGTGAAGATAAAGGTAAAGGTAAAATAAAAATTACTAGTACCTAAAAATTTCTATGAGTTTGAATGTATTTCCATTGGTTACTCTGGTTTAATCACTTTCAATTAAAATATTATATTGCTTCTGCATTTCTAAGACAGATAGTGTCGCCTTGAAACTCCGGAGGCTTGGATTTATGCATTAACTTGAATTATAGAACTAGATTGGCAATTCTGCCTTTTCTCTGGTGGTGTAAGCTAGTAATAAAAGCAAGTAGTAAAAAAAACCAAACTAGTAAAAGTGAGGCTCTACCGTATTGCTTTACTTACTGTATGAGTAAAACATCTGCAGTTACATGCAACTGTGTTCATGCATCTGAATACCCAAAATCAAAGTCTGGAGACACAGTTCATTGAGTTCAATGGCATCTCACCAGGACTGTGCTCAGTGCAATCACAAGGGTGATAAAGAAGGTCCTTTTATTTATCTCTTGTTTCGTGCAGTCAATAAATTATTTATGAGAAGACGTAATGAAATTCTGGCCGTTTTTTATTATAAGAAATTGATGCTGACAGAAGAGAATCACAGAAGGCTTTCCAAGGAAAAGAGTTGTATCTTTTATTTAGCTTCAGGGGCAAAATATTGAAACAGTTTTCTTTTGCCCTTGTGACTAAGTTTCAGTTTCTCTAATATGTGCATATTTAATTTGAGTTTTTACAGATTAAATAATACGCTTGGCAAAAAAAATCCTGATTTTGGTATATGAGCTGCCTAGTTCTACTGGTGCATGAATAACTAGAAAGAAAACTCCCTCTAAATCCAGCTCTTTGGTCCTCAAAAAGTACTGCAGTCCCAAGATAAAATATTTTCTAGAGACAAAAAAACTAAGGGTTGGATATAAGATTAGTTGAACCTGGCAAAATCCAGTTTTCCTGTGTCTTTGGAAGCAGTCTAAAGCCACTAATAAAATAAGCACACCTATTCATATATTGTGCTTCCCACTATGTTACTTTGCAGTAATCTATGAGGTGAATGTTTTCAAAGACATCCTACAGAAGACTGGTGACTAACTGCAAGTGCAATAGCGAAGTGAGAATGTTCTGGCCCTGATACCGACTGTGGGTTTCATAAGCACTGGAGGATGGTAAATCTTGTCTGGTAACTAATTAAATTTGATTCTGTCTGGATGTCACACTGTGAAAAGTGATCTAACCCTTTGCTGTATTTTTAGTGAAACTGGAATTAGATTTGTCTTTCTTACAGATGCTGCATCCATAGTAAATGTTTTTTACAGGTACTGCAATGGTTTCTATTGAGAGTAATCTTCATCTAATACAGTGGTTCTTCATCTTCATTTAACACTTTCCTAGTTGATCATTTGCAGGGTTATAATGGGTCATAACAGATCTCTTTTCTAAGAGGAGACTGATAATCCAAGCCCTGACACGAGCAGGCTGGTGAAAGGTATGTGATGGACTGAACCATAACAGAAAAATGCTTAGAGAAGGCCAAAGACTAGAGGACAAACCTTAAGGCCCTTTGGATCCTTAGAAAACTTAGGAAAAAGTTAGGAAAACCATCTTAGGAAAACCAAAACTTAGGAAAACCATCTTGCTCCTTGCTCCCCACCAGCAGTCCTGGTGTGTGCTGAAGTGCTGATTTGGAGATGCTGGATGAGTGATGGAAGAAGCAGTGGGGTTTGAATAAATAGGGCTCTACTTCACAGTGTTGCTGGTTGCTGTCACAATTGCTGACAAATCTGGCCCTAGTCTGGTGGCTGTACCCAGAATTAGGAGGGTCAGAAGAATATCCAGATTTGTGCTTTCCTACAGAAACTAGGAGAGGAGCACAAATCTTTAAATGTCTTGCTGCACAGACAGGTAGCAAATGTACACACACAAAAAAGCAAATAAAGCCCTCTGCCCTGTGAAACACATAGTGTCCTCCTCCTCCCGCTTTCCATGACAGCCATGTGTCACTGGAGCTGGGGTATGGCTTAGCAGCCATCTGGCTTTCACAATGTTCTTAGCACTTCTTGCATACTTCCTGCATGCACATCCATGTGCTCATCCTCTGTTTTTATTGCCGAAGGTTAGTGAGGATAAATGAAGGTCTCCAATACCACTTTCTATGGCCAGTTTAGGTCTCTCAGATAATCTCCTATGAGGTCACCCACCTCTTCTAAATGTCATGAGCGCATGTGATCTGAAAGTCTTCACAGTCTGTCCTCATGCCTGAATGGCATCCCAGTGACTCAGGCACTATCACCTCTAAATGAGGCCACCTCTTAATTCCCTGCTTTGACTGTTTCTCCAGTAAAATGCTACTGACCAAAATAAGAGCAATCAAGTGGGGCAGTGCAATGGGTAAGAGCTTTGCAGAGATTGGGGAAATAACACTGGATGGCACCACATAGTTGAGAAAATTCATGCGGCATCAAATTCATGTAGTCCTAATAAAAATGGGACATCTGAGCTCTTCCCTAGCCCTTGGGTGGAGAGGAACATCCTCTGCCTATGCCACATGTCCAGCAAGGCAGCTGAAATCAGCCATGTTCCTGACCAAAACCCAGTAGCCAAGTCATCTACAGGTGTAGATGAAGCTGTGCTGTTTTGCACCATGTATAAAGCTCATGGACCACCAACCTCCACCTGGAAAAGAGCCCTAGCAGATCATGACCTCTAGAGGAGCTTGATTCAGAAAGATATCAGATGGGACCACAGCCTCTCAAACCTCATCCTGTTGGGGTGGTGTCAGGCCAGGGAGGCAGAGGAAGAGGACTGGGTGTCTCTCCTTCCCTCCCCTTACTTCCATCAGGGCCCAAGCTCTGCCAGCCTGGTGTCTCCTGTGATTGCCCCCATCCAGCCTGCTTGGTCAAGGCTTCCTGCCCTGCTGTCCTTCAGGGAGCTCCTCACATCTGTGGGGAAAAAATCCAGGATTTCTAGTCCTTCTCCACAAACCTAGGACTGTCCCATCCCTCTGAGGGCTTCTTTATTGTGGCTGTGTTTTCCGCTGTGAAATAATTCTGTCCTGCTTGAGCAGCAAGTGAACCAGCACATTGAGGAGGTGATTTTGCGTTGCAGGATGATATGGTTATTTCAGGAAATGCACATGTATGTCAGTGTGGAGGCATTATTCCTCCAGAATTTGGCTCATTGTGTCCCAGCAGTCACACTGGTGTTGCATCATCTGCAAACCTTTACCAAGAGCAGCTTCCAGCTCCTCAAGGGGGTCTCCCTCCTGCACCTCTATTGGCTTGGTATGGGACAGGATGAATCAGATAGAAGAATATGATTGCTGTTAGAGTCTTGCTTATTGATTTTTTTTTTTGCTGTTAGAGTCTTGCTTATTGATTTTTTTTTTTGCTTACTGATATTTTACACACCTTGCTCCATCTCTTCAAGGAAAAACAACCAAAGGAAAGTGGCATTCAGAAATGCAAATTACTAATATTCAGAACAAGAACTATTTCTTCTCTACTAATTTAATCTCAGATAGAAAACTACCCATTTTATTTATCTTTATGTCAGACAGGGGAGAAAAAAAAAGAAAAAAACAACTCTGACATCAGCAATGGTAGAGTTAATTTCCATACCACTCCAGTCAGTTGTAAAAAAATGCATTTTTTATGGATTGATCTCAGCAGAAGTGCTCAAGTCATGACATTCCTGGGATGGCAGCTTTTGAAACACCAGTGATGTTGGGTGATGACCTTCCAAAGGTTCTTCCTGTGAAGAGAAGCAGTGCTTTAAGGCAGGCACTTTGCATGCCCTTAGTCCTGTACATTTTCATCTTACTGACATGCTTAGTAAATTTTGCAATCAGAGAAATTATGGTGTCTCCAAAGCATCACACACTACCATGCATACCAAGCTTTTTCCTATTTAAGGCTTTTGTTTTTCAGCAAAGCACCTCCATTTAGAAAATCACTTGTGTGAATCACCAAGCCCTGAGGACTTTGTTCAGAAGACTTTGTGATTGAACACTTATCAGGAGCAGAAGATCCTTGAGTACAGCCCTCAGAGAGATTCAAAACACCATCTAATCCATCTCCTTGCCTCCAAGTCTAATTCCAGGCAGATTTGTAAGGAATATATTCTTTACAGCACACTTTAAAGATGGTGTGATGGCAACCTCACAACCTCCCTAGGCAACCTGTCCTAGCCTTTTGTTATCTTTACTGTCAGAAACTGTTTCCCAATTTAAAGTTGTTATTATTGACCTGCATAAATGTAGCATATATCTGTGATATTACACTTTATGCCTGTTCAGGAAACCCACGACACTCACTAGAGCAATCAAATCAGAAAATTAGGCCAACTCTATCAATTTCCATCCCAGAAGTGAGAAAGCAAACCCTGCATTTCCCAGGACATGACTGACCTACATGAAAGGGGCTCTGAAGTGGGGACCTTGGTCTGTTGTGATTTTTCCAGGTCAGATGACAAAAATAATGAGTCTTAAAAGAAAGTGAGCTGGTTCTTGCTGAACCCAAGCAAGAGCTAAAGGATCCCAGTCAGAAGAACCAGTAGTTCCCAGTCATGTGAAATTTCACCTTCTCCACTGGAGAACAGACCAAAATCCAAACAAGAAAAAAAAGGAAGAGGATAAATGACTAAAAATTTAAAAGTCAAACTCAAAACCATTGCACCAGGTAGAAAGTGTAGCTCAGCACATATTTTACTGTCTTCACAAGCAAGTTCAGCACACATTTTATCTTCACAAGCTCGTCTTCAAGCAGATGAGTATGCAGGTGATTGGTGTAACTAGAAATTATGTCATTCAAATGAAAAGAAAATGAAAATAATCGAGGCACAAAATTGGATTATAGCTTCCCCAACAATTCTCCCAATTGGGATTTTCAGTCATGATAAAGTGAAAGGTAGGTATAAGAAATCATGACAAAGCATTTATTGTCTGATTAGTCTTAGGGTGTTGAGATGAGACTAGTAGCTAAGATGAGTTGAAGCTTTTCTGCAGCTACAGGTTACTACAGTTGTGTAGGGGATGTTGAAGGACTATAGTAGTTTTGGAAAACCTGAACCTTTTTTATTCTTAGTACAAACTTTTACCACTAATAACAATCACGAAAATCCTTTTCTCTTAACTCCATCTATACCTTTTAAATAAGAAAGTGATTAGCATCCAAAACATCCCTTCCAAAAGGATAAGCAGAATCAAGGCGTCTATTTTCATCACTGAACACATAAGCTTTTAAAAATAACGTGCTGAAATGGGCCAAGTGGAGAAGAACTTTACCCCTCCATCCTTACACATAAGTCCCATAGTGATGCCTGCTTTTATGGCACTGCAGGCTTGCACAGGAAGCCAAGGTTAAATAGTTTAAAGCTGAATGAATAGCTTGGCTCCCCTTGCAGCTAGCACTTGTGACCTTTGGAACTCTGTGCAAATCCGAAGCTGGTAAATATTTGTTTCTAGGAGAAACTCAAACAATTAAGAGTAAAAAAATTTATTTACTGCAGTGATTGACAGCAGTGGCCTCATGGTAGTCCAGTTTCCAGCACTTTCTGACTGCTTCTAAAGTGCCCATTGTGCACAACACAGTCCTGAGCCAGGTCAGACAGTTTGGTGCCATCTTGATGGCTGAATACAGAACCACTGCATTTTAGTAAGCAGGAAGGACATTCTCATGAGGAGCAATGGCCATTAGGATTGTTTAGCTGCCTGAAGGGACCCTGCCCTCTAACTGCTCTTTCTGACTTTGGAAATGCCCTGAACACTTTTGCTTCTGATGTCTTAGCTGTGCCTATTTATTCTTGTTTGTCTTTGTAGCTGAGAATTTCAATATATGGAAAAACACAAATGGCCTACAGGAACTTAAGTTCTCTGCTTTCTCTTCTTTTCTGGAGGTTGTGGCATGTGTTGCAATTCCAGAAACTCTAGAAATGCATATTTTCTCCATTAATTCCTTTTCTGAAAATATGAGGAAGATCAGGAGAATGCCCTACCTGCCTCGCTGAAAAAAAACCACCATCAAACCCTACCTTTTTATCATTTAATTAAACATTTCCAGAAGGTGAGGCAGTGGGAAACAATCTCACTTCTGAAGTAACCCAGGCGAAATCAGCAGTAGTGACAGTGTGGGCAGCCATGTGACACCGGTGTCTGAAGACTCTGCTCCTTAAAGCACCAGTGAAAGCTGTAGAATGGGAGCATCCTAGCAGAGATTTTTGCTGCTCTTCCCCATCCTTGCTTAACAGGGCCTGCTCATCCCATAGAGACCACTGATGTAATATATACACATCAAGAGTTAGCACATTAAAAATAATGTGCTGCATGCAGAAACTCACCAGACTCTCCTCTATAGCAGATAAAGGGCTCAGTTGTAAAGGGTCTGATCTTTAAAATGACCTTTATTGCAACAGGAACATTGGGAGCTGAATATACCCTGCTTTTAGGTGAGAAAGCTGTTATATAAGGCTGAAAAATTAAGGTAAGACAACCCCCCAAGCTTCTCTATGCTAAGAAGGTTGCATTTCTGCTTCTTCCAGAGTTAATGGCAAAATTCATATTGGCTTCAAAGGAATCAAAACCAGCCTCTATTTCCATATAACTCTGTAAACTTTGAACTGAAAAATACTCATTAAATCACAAAGCTCATTTGAAGAAAATTGCAAAATATACCTTCCTGCAGAAGATCTGTCAGACTTCTAACAGATATTTTATATTGTCAAGGGCAAATAAACCTGCTTGGGGAAAAACAGACAGGTGATTTATATGGTGATTGCTTTCATTTTCTTTTTATAATTTCGACTTACAGCCTCTTATCCATAGTCAGGAGTAGTACAAATATCAGGGTGTGCAGCTTTTTTGCACAGACTGCTTTTTATTTTACACATAAGCTGCTGTGTGTCTGAAGTGAGTGGATTTGGCTACTTCAATGTACCTCGTGAACTGGCGTATTTTCTTTCCAGACAGTGTAATGTGCAACCCCAGAAACGATGCTAGGGTGCTGATGTCGGGAAGTATGTGAGAATTTACTTAATACAATCTATCTTTTTAAAAGCTTTGGCTTAGCTGCTGTAATGGAAGTGCTACACTAGCAGTGCATAGTGTCTCCCTGTGTAGTGATGGGCTGGAAGTGTGCCTTGGGTCTAGATTGTGAAGCTAATATTTTGACTTTTTTTTTTTTTAACCAGGGCCATAGGCATATTCATATGTTATTGTGAGCTAAAGGTGTAGGCAGAGTGATTATCTGGAGCTCTACAAATATAAACCTACTTACCTTTTAAAATCAGGTTTTCTCTGATCAGAGTTGTCATTTTCACAGTGCAAATTAAGGACATTTTCTTTGTGGTAACTTGCTTGTTGGATCATATTTCAGCAAAGAGGAAGACTGGAACAGGCTGAAAGGTGGGAAGCGATGGTTGCACGCTCTCAAGATTGTCAACTTTGGCCTAAACTAGTGTATTGCTGTCATTGCATGACCTCAAAAAAATATTAATGTCATTACTTGTAATTTTAAAGAATTTGAAGCATAAATATTTATTTTTAATCTCCTACCCCTTTCAGTGGTAGGATATCAAATTTACACCATTGTAATCATGTCTCTCATTTAACTTCAGCTCTCGTTAGCATCCTTCCCTTTGACATGACCGCTGTTGTGATCAGAGGAGGTTCCTTGGCATCAGCACTGCTTCCTTGGGTGGAGGAGGATGCAACTGTACTAGTTTTGTGTTTGTGAGGACTCAGGATTTTCTGGAAGAAGCATGGCATCCTGCTGAGGCATATTCCCCACCCTCACCCCCATAGCCACTATCTCTTTACTGCAGTAGGAGTTTTGCCAGTCCTCCTGAGTGGGCATTTCTGGCTGACCTGCATTACTCAGGAGGGCGTGTGCTTGCCCCAGCTACATTGCTTGGCACCTCGGCAAGGCTGGAGAGGTGCATCCAAGGGCTGCTGACTTCTAACATGAGACAAGTCTCATGGTTCTGCTGAGAGATACCTAGTGCCCTTGAGGGATGGGCCACCTGTAAGACCAATGGATAGGTAAGTCTTGCAGTATTGGGAAGGTGTTTTGGTCTTAGACATTTCACACTTCATGTTACCTCCCAAAGGGTTTCACATGTTTCAAGTCTGTCTTGTCCTCTTTGCTTGCTTTTCTCTTCACCTGTCTACAATTTAATTTCTTTGGTGTGACAGAAGAGCTGACATAGAGCAATGACTTCTCCACTTAAGGCAAAATCCAAAGGGCCCCTGAAAACTCTGCTATGGTAGCAGGAAAATGATGCTGCACTGTCAGGCCAGGTGCACACTGCCAGGGCTCAGGGCACAGTCACTTCCTTCGAGAGTCACTTATGTCAATCCTTATCCTAGACAGGTGAGACCAAAATAAACTTGCTGAATACAGAAGTCAGTATCTCTACATTTCAAGCTGGTTTGTGCATGACTTTTTCTGGGCAGGCAAACTTTTGCACTTCTGTGAGGAAGTAAATATTTGTATTGTTGCTGGCATAAGAACTCTAAACTAAAAATGAATAAAAATGAGTACATTAGCTCTTGGAGAGTGCCCTGGGGATAAGAGGTTTGGCTCCCTGCTATCCACAGCTTATAGACATACCCAGTTTGCATCCAAATCACCAGGGAAAGAGGGGAGATGACTGAAGCCAGGGTCTAGTAAGACTGGCCTAGAGAAGAAAACCTGGCATGTACAGTCTAGTTCCTGTAACTACCCTAGAAATTTCTTTCAGGAGTGGAATTTAAAGACTATATCTGGTGTGCAGGGAGATGTGTCTCTTCCTATTTGGTGAGCAAGGCCATGAGTACCTTCTGTTGTATGGTCTTGTTCTGAGATCAGCCTGACAAATGATTGGTGAGGCTTGCTAGTCACGCACCATTCAGTAATTCGTGAAGATTAGAAGGGTAAATAAAACACATCAATGCCTTTGACGCAATCCAGCATGGTTTTATTCAGTCAGAAGTCATAAAGAAAAAAAAAACCTCTACAAACCTGGTGCTTTGTCACCCATCCTTTATCCTTCAGCACATGCCAACTCATTCCAGCTGCACTTCACTCAGTGCTGGGCCCTGGGTGCTCTCCCATCTCAAACCTGAGAGCCTGTGAGCAAATGAAAAAGGACCAGCAGGTGCAGATGGAATTCTTTCAGTCCCAAGGATA